GATGACGTTCATAGAAATGCCCTGTCTTTGTTTTAAAGGAGGCTTTGGTGATCCTTGGTCCATGAGATTCCCATCCTATAAGTGCATTTTGTGCTTGTTTAGATAGCACCAATGCAACTCCTTGTGTATATGGGGCATTTTCCTCTTCATATCCGGAGTATAACAGCAGCTCCCCTGAAGCTTGTCATTGTTGTCCAACTTGCGTTCAATGTGTTTCACTGATCCCAAGCACCTCTAGGTTGTATCTCCCCATTTCTGCAGCAACCTGTAAGACTCTTCTATCTCCCACACTGTACGAGCATTCCATGTACCTAAATATATGGTTGCTTTGGTCGTCAGAAGAGGCACCAACCTCGTGATTTCCGAAGAAACTCGGTTTTCATTATGAGACGTCATAACTCCTCTAAATGAAGACCTAACTCCTAGGGCAGAGTTTAAATGGTTTGAATAGTATTTTCTGGTTAACGTATTTTTAGCGAGTTAGTTCTCTACGGGATGGGGTCGCTAATCCCATGCCCTACCCTCCTCCTTTATCCAGGCTTGGGACCAGCAATAGCCACAGAAGGGCTCCAGACGGAGCTCTGGATCTTATTATGGACATTCAAACCAACAACGACGAGCTGATGATATCATTCGATGTAGCACAATTATTCACCTCCATTGAATCTAGCTTAGCAAAGTTAAGTCTACTTCTGCTTTTCACCAAGGACACAAATCTCGCAAAGTATACGAAGCTTCAAAGTCAAAGTTTACTAGAACTCATCGACTCATACTTAACAACGTATTTTTAATTAAACAACAAAATCTACGAACAAATGAAACGAACATCGATGGGATCACCAGTATCAGGGCTTATCACAGAAGCCGTGAGGCAGAGACTGGAAGCCTCGATCTTACAATTGATCAAGCTAAAAATTTGGATTCGTTATGTGGACGACATATTCGTCATCTTCAAAAAGGACGAGTTGGAAAACACCTACAATCTGATCAACAACGTCTTCTATGACATCAAATCCGCAATGGAACAAGAATCGAACAACAAACTACCATTCTTGAATGTATTAATCACTAGGACCGACATAATAAAACTGGAGACTCAAGTGTATAGGAAGCCGACCCACACAAATCAAAGTCAACTGCAGTAGCAACAACCTAAGAGCTCTCAAATTCAACTGCGTACAAACTTTGCTCAAGAGGTTGGGGAAACATTGTAACACACTTGCAGCAAAAAAAAATTTTAAAAAATAGCTGAAAATCATCTTTCAACTTCATCAAAAATACGCATCATGAGAAACAAAGTCAAGTACAAAAACCAGCAAACGGACCACCCTACGATATATAGAAGACAATCAAAAGTTACAACAACATTGTTGAAATCTTTCGGAATAAGTGTTGCACACAAGCCGACAAAATCACTACGATCAATCTTATGCAAACCAAAGAGCGAAATGACAAAAGAAGAAAAACCGAACATACTCTACAAAATAAATTGTGCCAACTGCAAAAAACAGTACATCGGACAAAGTGGACGACCTCTTCATCTTCGCCTTCATGGACATCAATAGGCAGCCAAACTCCATGACATGTTCTCATATATATTAGTGCACTTAAACGGCTAGAAAAATATTGAGATCTTGGATAAAGGCAATTCAAAAACACCAGGGAATTTTTAGAGACTTGACACTCAGGTCAATCATCCATCAACAAGCACATTGAAATCAATCCAATTTATCAAAAATGATGGACAAACAGGGCCAAAAATCAAACCAATAGGATATACAACCAAAATAAAGTAAACAATGACAATTCGCTTGATATTGTTTGCTTGAATCTCCTCATTGAGGTTTAAGACTGCAATTGATTTGTCTCTCATTGTCTGATGGCCAAAATGATTTTTTCAATCGTTGGCGGAGTAACAGCTATAGAGAAGGTCTGCGTGTGCTGTTTTGGTGTCCAGTGGAGCTGACCTATTCAAGAGTTCTTTACAGTGTTCTACCCATGTGATCGTCGGTTCTTGAATCTCAGTGTTTGGTTTACCTTATTTGTCCTTGATTGGACAGTGTTTTATTGTATTTTCCTGGTAGATTATTCCTTGTATCAAATAACTGTCTCATCTTTCGTTCTCTCGAAACATTTTCCGCTATCATCGCTTGGCGTTCCACATATTTCCGCTCCTGTCCATTCGCTTGTTTGCTTCGGTGTTCTTAATTACTGATTTCTTGTCCCTCCTTTCTTGACTCTTGTTCAAGATATCAATGGAGATCTACTGTTTATGACAGTGGTACTTGCAACCCAGATAGTTAGTTACTATATCCAGTCCAGTCCAGACGCTTAGAACGATGGGTGGAGCATTTTAGAGAACAGTTCAGCTGGCATTCAGCTACTCTACAACTACCCTCCATTCCCAGACAGTGTGAATGAAACATTGAAGTAGGTCCCCCAACTCTAGCTGAAGTTCAAAAGGCTATAGTTAATCTGAAACGAGGAAGGGCAGCTGATCCAGAGGTGTTTAAGTATGGTGGTCTAGTTTTAGCAATTAGGTTGACTAATATTTTAGCTAAAATCTGGGAGTTAGACGTTATCCCATCTAACTGGTCACAATCACTTATCGTCCCAATATTTAAGAAAGGGTCAAAATCATCCTGTGAAAACCATAGAGGGACTAGTTTGACTAATATAGTATCTAAAATACTAGCCTCGATAATTTTCGGACGCCTAACTAAGACTCGTGAAAATCAGGCTGGCTTTGATATCAATAGCATCATGATGATTTCGCTTCTTTTACTCTTCGTTGCAACAAATTTCTCTATGCTGTATAGATAATTGAACTGACGTACATTTGTGTCGAACTACACAATCTTCGTGACTGACTAACATACCCTGAAATAATAATGCATTTTGTTCTATCTATGTTATCCTCACCTGTTTTTTTTAAAAAAATCTTATTACTCTATGGCTAAGTACAAGGTTGAAGGAAATAACTAGACTTCCCAAGAATTATTGAAACTTTTCCATCCAGACCCATAATAAAAGTAACCAAAGAGAAAATAACGACAATATTATATTTGTACATTAAAACTAGTTTATCATATCAAAACAGTAAGTCGAAATTGTTAATCGAAAATATTCTTTTAAAATCATGTAAACACTTTATCCATGAAAAGTATATATTGAAAGGCTTATACTTAATCAAAATCACGGTTGATTCAGTAAAAGAAAAAGAGATTAGATAAGTGTACATGATAAAAGAAAAACTTCAGAAATTAGTAAAATATCAAATATGATAAGATGTAATTTTTCCATAAGTAATTGACATAGTTGGTTAGCAACAAAAATAATTATTATTATCCAATCATAAATATAACTGAAAAAATTTGACAATTTAAAGTATAATAAATGATGATAACAATAACAAAATAAATAGAATATGTTACATTAGATTAGAAGTACTTTTGTTTTCCCCTTAAAATATATTATTTAATACAAATCTTATGTTTATTGAAAGAAGTTAACAAACCAAATTATATATTCATGTTCTTAATTGATTCAAACAAACAAAGAAATAATCTTATTAAATTAAAACAAATGTGTTTGTTTGCGTATGTGTATATGTATGTGTGTGTAAGTAAGGAATGTAAAATAAATAAATTTGAAGATCCAATTGAATATTCGATCTCTGTGAAAGACCTTCATGATCTGAAAAGAAAACACAAATAAATATTGGTATATTATGTAATAATATGTTGAAATTAAGTTATTCACAAGATACATAAGATAATATAATCTCCAATAGCGAATAATAATAAATAGCGCAGTTACATATCATATACGTAGACTACTGTTATCCCATTGTAGGTGTTTACGAAGCATTGCTTGTGTATTATGAGACTACAAAGTTAGCAATGTTTGGGTTAGGACTAGAGTACTACGTAAAAATGGGAAATCGATTGATGAGGTGGTATATATTCATCAAGTGAGGTGGTTGGGATATGTGTCACTTTTATACGACCACTCCCTTCTTCGACGAGCAATGATTTGTGATAAAGGTTTAGTTTAGAAGAAAGTTAGGGGCGGCCGAATCAAGATATGGCATCAGTCCATAATGACTCTATTGTAATGAGCCATATATAGATAGATGTAGATACTTGCTTAAGATCCACGCGATTATCGTAACCAATAATTGGACACTGGAATGGCATGGTTCAAAATCGTTTGCAAATGTCCAGGTAGATTCACTCCCTGTCTTTCCTTAAGTTCTAAGTCTATAAATGTCCTTTTAATTCAACAATTCATACTTTTATCTTGAATTATGATTTGGATATCTAATATTTTCTATTATTATTAATACTACTACCAACTCTACTATTTTGTGATTTGCCCTGACAGTTTCATCCAGACGAGGGACTTGCGCACATGTAACGGATTTTACGTTGGGTTTGACTGACTGAAAATAATTACATCGATTTAAGATGGTGAGTTGCAAAATAGTCGAAATAATTGGAGTATCGATGATAATGAGGAAAGATGGAAATTGAGAATATGGCTCGAAAATACAGAGTGGGACTCAAGGCCTACAAGAAAATAAAGAGTGAATGCAATAACGATGTTGTGACGGGTTTCGAGTCATGTGATCCAATGTATTCGACTGCTAACCGTGGTTTTCGTGTGGAACCCAAAACAAGGTAGTCTATGTATATCCACACCGCTCACACCAATAAGTGAATGATTTCAATAAGGTTAACATCTGTTATTAATTTAACAACACTCAGACGAAAATCCATATTCTTATCGCATTATCTAGAGAAGAACAATGTCAAAATACAAGACATTTAATTAATGGAGCATAACCAACAAAATTGTATGAATATCATTTTGCTGAACTAAACATAGATCAATACACAAGATAAATCTACTTCAAAGTATATAAATTGTGAAACATACTTTTTCACATTGATAGATATTACTTAGATCGATTATTACCACTGAGTTTTCGAAGCACTCTATGATAATGACGATGATGTATCGACAGAACAACAATCATCGGATTCTATAACCGATGGCATTACAGTGTTCGATTTATCAAGTGCATTATTTGAAGTGTCAGATGAATTTTGTCGAATAGCTTTACACATGGCAAAATGTTAAGGATGGGGAAAAGAAATAAGAGAGAAGTAATTGAATAAATGAACAAATCCATATAATTAACAAATAAATAACACAATGAATAGAATACTTGGATGATGTTGAAATATTAGCCAACAGAGGCTCCTAGTATTAGTGACAATTTGGTAGTGGGTGGCTAATGTTGTGTTCATTTGAATTTGATGACGATTAACACGTGTTTCAACTTTATTATCGTGAGGAAATCTAATATCAAGATATAAATTTTAAAATCCTGGAGGAAGTAGTCCTTTGACTACTGTGTTACACTCCAACAGCGAAAACAAAATGACAAGAAGATATACTCGGAATTGAATCACTATGAACTTCAGTCTTCCTCGAAGTTTATGAACACGATCACATATATATGAGGCAGAAAAGCATATAACTTTATTGAATATGAAGTTTTTTCAACAAATCTGTATTATTAAATGGAACGCACAAGAAGCATATCATATTTTAAAAACGATTTTCAGATAAAAGTGAATCAGTGAGCTAACGGTTTGACAAAATTTGTCATTAGAAATTGCACTGATTGCGATAAGTTTGGAATAACGAATATTCTTATTTCTATTCAGTATTATGATAGAAATATTGATGAAACCAACTTTCTTGACTCTGAGTAGTCAAGCATCAATCTAATTTTATCACACGAGAATAACGTTATGTAAGGGTGACAAGACGACAAGATAAGAGTTTACTTTTGTGTTGATTAGGCTTTTTGAGATGGATGGTTTAACTGTGAAGCTATCAGTGATGTTTTAGTAAGAGTTTATTTGGTTCGGTTGACGTTTGATTATGTGGCCGACTGATGTTTTCCATACTCAATATTAATTTTCTTAATGCTATAGTGTTTAGTCAATTGTATCTAAAGTGGATATTTTTGACATTTTCTCAGTATGTATTGATAAATATGATAATACGGATATGGATTTAATTGGTAAAGTGTCAAGTTATGCAATCTAGTAAGCTAAAAATAAACCCAGAAAATCTCTTGAAGTACAGCATTCAGGTTACCTGACAATCAATAGACATATGATGAATCAACCAAAAGGACGAATAAATTAAAAGTAAGAAATTATCCTATTCTTCTGGATTCTTCATGTGCCTTATTTTCTCTTTCCAAATTTATTCCACTGGATTATACTCCTTCAGTAACATCTTCAAACCCTAATGTTTCCGATTACTGCTTATACTCTCACTATCTCTACCACCATGGGATTTCAATCGACAATTGTATCTTTGTGCTAATGTGTTATGGCAACTTGAACTGCTGTATGTACATACGACGTTCTACCTTGTTGACTGACTGACTGAATAAATTATCACATATTAGAAGTTAGTATTTTCTCAAAGTAATTATTAATATTGGCATTCAGTCAGGAACCAAAAAGTTCAATAAATCAAAAGATGTTTAGGGCAATAACTCACCTGAAATAATTTTACCTCGATTTACAGGAAGTTTTTTTGAAAAGTCCACATTTTCACCATCAATTATATTCGTAGTTTTTCTTAATGACTTGAAAGCGTTTGTCAATTCTGTAAGCATTTCTACACTAGGAGATTGTAAATTATTTTTAGGATTAGTTGAAACTGTTGTTGATAATTTTCTGACAGGTTCCACTCCTGAATCTCCAGCTAATTCAAATGTAATTTATATAAATAAGAAAGATAAATAAAATCAGGACAAAGGTTATGAAAATTATTATTATTGTTATTATTATTATTATTAGTAGTAGTAGTAGTAGCACCTGCTTCGTTTTGGGCACCCGGGCAGTATCACAGCCCTCACACATATCAAATGAGATCTGTGTGGCGCATATGTATTTGGTACCTCTTTGTACCAATATCTATGTGTTAAAATAAATCAATAAATAGTAGTAGTAGTCAGTCAGTCAGTCAGTAACAACGTGGAACTTCGTACGTACGTACATCAGTTCGAGTTGCCATATCACATTAGCACAGAGATTCAGTTATCGATTCAAATCCCATAGTGGTAGAGTAGTAGTAGTATAATATACTAAATATATGAAATGAACATTTACAAAATGTTAAAGAGGAATAAAAACCATATTTTAAAAGAGAAATAATCATTTTCCAGTGTATATTTATGATGTGATTATTGGTTAGTGGTAAAGCAATAATGTTACAATATGAATAAAGAAAACTTTAATAAAAAGATTTGTATATAATACGTGATAATCTAAACTTTGATATATTATAACTTGGCATTTCTTTCACGTTGCTACTTATGCAAATAAATAAATCAGGTTCTTTCAAATAAACATCAATACTATATATTGCAAAATATCAAGATATTAAGTTATGAAGCAGTAACGATACATTGCTGATGTGAATATACCTTTCCTTTTAATTTAACTTTTAAAAAAAGTTACGTTAAAGATTTAGTAGACGCTACGGATGGAAGCTTTAAATAAAATAAAAACGTACTCACATAGTGTAAACTACATATCCAAAAATGGTTCAAACAATTCTGTATGAATTTCCAAATAAAGTGATGACTGAGTGATAAAAAACTATTTTATCAACGAATTAATCCAATTTTTTCAAGTAATCAGGGGATATCATTAGACCATACAAAAACATGTGGCTTGAAGTACATTACACGGGTCTGTATTAGTTACGAAGTATGATTTTAAACATTTATTATTATTTATTTGAAAACAAACACTGGTACAAGGAGGCATCAAATATATGTGCGCCACACATCGTCATTCGATTTGTATGAGGGTTGGAATACTGTCCAGACACCCAAAGCGAATCAAGTGATTTTCTTGGATGAATACTGCCCGAGTCTTTGATCTAGAGGTTTAATCAACAAGGTGACGTCAGGAGATGCAGTCCCATGGTGTCCGGTGACCAAAAATAGGTTCATACGCCATTTCTTCCCTAACGAACCTGAAGTCTATGTGCTCTACTAGTTTAGAATCAAGGTTTTCAAACTCTCCTAGATGGATCCTTCATATCCACCAACCCAGTTAAAGTGCTGGACATTCGCTTTTTGTCCTTTCAGTTTCGTAAATACAACCCTGCCATGAGAAGGCAGTGAGTAGGACGTCCCTGTCAGTGGCCGTATACGCGTGGCCATGTGATAGCATTTCGAGGGGAAGAGAGGACTCTCCCCATCCCACCCTCGGCGGAACCAGGACATATGGGGGAGTAGGATTTAAAACTTAATCCTTCTTTTTCCAATGAATTTACCCCCCCCCCCAAAAGCTTATCAGATAAGAATTTCGATAAAAGACAAACTGTATGACAACAGCATATAACTTTGTCGTGACAATGATAAATTAAAGCATCAGCGTACTCTATGATACGATAATCGAACACGATAACAAATACACAAAGTCAGGAGAATACAAACAAAAAAACCAAATCACAAGAAACGTAGGTATGTTAATAATAATATCATAAGTGAACACTGATTATTACTATGATAAATAAATGTATGACATAGATTTAATATAAATTCAATAACACTTAATACAAAATCAATTGAATTAGGATAATAATCTCTCTATCTTTCACTATTTTTACGACCACAGCTTAATACTTTAAACTTTGTAGGAGAATTGTTTAGCGATACTTCAACAATATACATTCATAGTGTAGAACGTTTCAAACCAAATTCTCGCGATATCAAAAAAAGTTGAAATTGACACTGCATACAACAAAACGGTTATGGGTGGAACAATATTCCATCAAAAACGCATACACATATCTACAGGAGTTTCATCGAACCACATTTGCATTAATAAAAAATTCAGAAGGTCCATGGAAAACGTGAAAACAAAGGGAGGAGCTGACATAGCTTCCGATCACCACTTGCTCGAGACCAAGATGAGATCGAAGCTAAAAGAGAACTAAACGGCTGAGCAAACAACATTACAAAAGTTTGATACAGTCTTACTCCGAGATAATGGCAAACTCAATGAACTCAAAATAGGTATCAGCAGTAAGTCCGAAGACTTACAAGATTAACTTAAACAAGAGGAAATTACTATGAACAGCAACTGGTAAGGGATTAAGGAAGCACTGAGAAAAAAATGGAAAAGATAGCAGAAAACAAAGTTGGTTGGAGAATACTAGTTGGCAGTCTATGCTCCACGAGCAGTAACAGATGCAACTAAGTAAGTAATGCGTTGATCTTAATCTCGTAAAATATTTCAGTAAACCATGAATTGATAAAGCGTATAAAACTAGGTGGTTATAGGTTAAGGTGAATGCTAAGTACCTCATCATATTAGTTAACAAAAATTTGTTTGCTATGCTACAAAAACAAATCCTTAATAATAAGAGTAAATGCACCTTGAAACTAGTGAATAGATTGCAGTTACTGAAAGTGATTTTTCTAACATAAATAATTAAGCGAGAGCGTTATTGTATTGAGATTGGAGTTTGACATATGCCTAGAGTAAGTATCCATTACAGAGCAATTGAACGTATTTTAAAACGAACTCAAACATATGAGAACTCTAACGGATCGAAAATATGTCATACAACTTTCAACGTTAATAATTTGCGTGCTAATATCAGGCCCAGAGAGGAGACTGGAATTTCAGGATAGCTTAATATTTTGAATAGAAGTCTAAAACTGGATAAAACCAGAACAATAATTGAGGCAGAAGAATATGAATTTGTTATATTTTATGGTTTCTCATGAACTGCTTACGACCATTGATGTGTAATAACGTGCAACACTGAGATATGATATAATGTGTAACAATATCTCAGCCTTTAACTGATACCGGGTATATCATCGACAATTTCCAATCCTTAAAATATATCGGTTTGCAGAAGCAGTAGCAATTCAGAAACTTAAACTTGATTTATGTCCCCATATAGGGACAGTCATCCACTACCTTGATAAATTCACAGCTTTGATTAATATCACCTGCAAGTATTTTTGTTATTATTATTTTATAAGTGTTTATTTTGTTATGCGGCTTTTGTTTAACTAACTCTTACCTCATCTACGCTAAAATCATCCTTTCATTTATCGGTTTTTTACTCCATTCACCGAATTCTATAAACTTATGTAAACTATGCAAACTTTGTACAGTTATAAGGTAACACTTCGATTGTTAACTCTAGACAATTATTATTCAAATTATTTCTTTCATCAATGTCGATTACTTCATATCATTCCATATCTCGATGTTGCACTTTAATACATACACGGTTGTGCAGCTGTTGAGAAACCACGACGTATAATGAATCCACTGTATTCTGCCTCTACCGTTGTCATGGTTTTAATCAAATTTGTAAAAAGAACCAATTAGTGAAAATAAAAAATCGAAATGGAACACAATAAATGACAAGAATAGATAAGAGAAGAGCGGAAAATGATGACGAAATATAAATAAGAAAAAATCATCGACTTTGTACTTTGAAAAAGTAATAGGGAATAACAAGAAACTAGATAGCCTGAGGTCTCCTTAGCGTAAAGCAAACTTGACTTTTAAGGACCTTTAAAGTAGTGAACCTGTGCTTTTTTATTTTGTATCTATCTGTAGAACGACACGGTAAGATTAAGGAAAACAAGATAAACATCCTCATCGTGGTCAGGTTAGTCAAGCAAATAAGTAAAGTTAGGTCTAGTGTACGAATGTCGGGGAAGATAGATATGAAACTTAGGTGCTTGACTTATGAAACAATAATCTCCCAATCTTTCAAGAAACAAAGTCTGCCAAAACCAAGGTAAACACATAGTATAAATTTGGATCCGCCAATGTTTCTAACGTCCTTACCACAGAAAACAGAACAAAAACAATTAATATCAGTGTCGAAGCGGTAGTGGTATAAATAGCTTTCGTCGTAATAACATAGATTAATCAAACAGAATATGATTCCAGAAGAATGAGTTGACGCAGTAAAAAAGTAGAACAATTTATGCACTTAGTAACACGCGACAGATATGGAAGTAACATAGCTACAAATAACAACGAATTAAGGCAACATCACAGAAAATCGATTCGTGTAATCTAGCTATCAAAGCAATAACAAACATTACTAAGCCACAAATGTAGATAAATCAGTGGTAAAATTAAATTCTTAGAAATGGAAAAATAAATTTTGCAAATAGTGACAGCGAAACAAATAATAAGTTATAATTTTCTAGATCATACATTTCAACAAAGTGCTAACCAAACTTACCTAAATCCTGAAGTGATGAATTCGAACAATTAACACGCATAGTGGAGTTCCGTTGTAAAGACAATGGAGCTGGTGGAGGTGGTGGCGGGGGAGGTGGCGGTGGTATTGCTGAACGACATTCTTTCATGGATTCCTAAAATAAGTGAGAGAAAGTATCAACTACAATCATATCATGTGAATCAAAATGACGAATTACACTCAAGTACAACATCATCCGATTAGACTGATCAGACATTATGTTTACATTGCATACAAACCAAAAAAACATTGATTTTCCACATCCACATGGAAAAGAGACAATGAAACAGTCACAAATTGAATGCGTTCACCATAGAAATACAAAACCACAATAATACATTTACTAAACACCACTCAATATTTTAAACGCAATGCAACAGAAATACAAAAAAGGGATAAGTACAGAGAGCACATGGGAACGATTGGAAAATACAGCCGAAGACAGATTTGGTTGGACAATACTGACCAGCAGCTTATGCTCCACGAGGGTTAACAGGAGTAATTAATGAAGATCACGCTGTTCAGATTACAACAATTTAACTCTATCTAATTTACTGTCTAGTATATACTTAAGTGAATTCATCACAATTATGAATATAGAGCATTGATCAGATTAAATATTTAAACGGTCGTAACAGATGTAGGAATATCATTACGCTTCATGAAGCGAGTATAATCAAAGTGAGAAAAACAGACACAACATTGTTGAAAAATTACATTTTGTGAACAAACACGAATCCCATGACCAGATATACAAACTCATCAAAATCTTTCAAATAAAAAAACACAACACTCCTTAGGATATATATTTTTCTAGGCAATACCCATAAACAAACCTTCTTTGTAATGGAATTCACTGTGGTAGATGGTTTACACTCATGAGAATTCGATTGATTGTTCACAACATCGATAACACTTGGCTTTGTAACTGCTTCTTGAGAATGATTTTTGAACGCTGAGCCTTTATTTGATTTGCGGTCTAGTAAAGCACATAAGAAATAAAGGTTACAAACCATTATAACACAAATAATTTAGACATACTATAACATTCTACATACACAGATGCATTTCAGCAGAAACATGATTTTCATTTAATATGAATATCTAATAAAGAAAGTAACCAGTAATACTGATTAAAAAAATTAAATGTACACCAGTTGTTAACAAAGCATGTGTGCCCCTTACCACAAAAACTACATACATAATATATGTTCACATCACAAAGCGTTCAAATAAATTAATGTAATTTTAGCGTCTTCAACAATCTTAACTATTCCATTACCGTACCTACGACAAACCAGTTGGAAACCAAGTTTTCACGTTGGACATTCATCTATGAAAGTTCAGACGAAAAAGGAGCTGGCCATTAGAGCACAAAACTGACAAAGTAATCACTTTAAGTTCGAGTTCAATGTAGGTTCGGCTTGACCAATAGCACTCAAATAATGAGATTGTAATAGGGAAGTATAATTTTGGCACGCCACTTAGAGATGGGTTCTAATGCTGAAAACCATCTACCTCAGAGAAACATGACCACACTGGTAATAATTTACGTATCCTTAGAGCTTCATACTTGCCAATCACTATCACCGCCCACTGAAATTTATAGGAACATTTGTGGTGGTAATTTTAGAACAGACTTACACATTATGTAATCACCAATACTTAATTCGTCGAAATAAATACGAAAGATATCGGTTGTGCATGATACGAACTCAGAAAAAATTGCTACACTGAGCCATATATCATTGTTTAAAATGAGCAGACCAGATGAAATCTACAGTATTTTAGTCTGGATAGATGTACCAAGATTCATATGTTGAAAAATAACACACAGAATTGACAAAGTTGTTTACCTTCTTTCATAAATTCATCATCTAGGCGACTATCCGTTCTAAGCAAGTGCGAATCAGATTTACGAGAGTCTTTATGTGTTGACTTGGGCATGTTTGGATCATTACCATTAACAGGTTTGATGAGATTTGGAAGTAATTGTGGTGGTGGTGGCGGTGGTGCAGGAGAACGATGTTTTTTCTCGGATTCCTAAAGGCAGTGAGAGAAAGTATCAACTACAATCATATCATGTGAATCAAAATGACGAATTACACTCAAGTACAACATCATCCGATTAGACTGATCAGACATTATGTTTACATTGCATACAAACCAAAAAAACATTGATTTTCCACATCCACATGGAAAAGAGACAATGAAACAGTCACAAATTGAATGCGCTCACCATAGAAATACAAAACCACAATAATACATTTACTAAACACCACTCAATATTTTAAACGAGCTAGTCAAAACACTAATGCGTAGAAAGGAATCTAAGGTCATTGTGACTGAAAGAAAAACCAGCATAGACAGTGCAGCTTCCACAAAAGATAAGTAACAAATCGTATGTTGGTTTTCGAAATAACACACATCACTCTTATTAGTCTTTTCTATGGATCAGAATCAATGGTAAATATATTTGTTTTATGAACACGTTGGACACAAATTGTCTTAAAATCTTGACTTCAGTCTGTTTGGCGCAAATTAAGTGTCTAGAAGACCATTTTAACTCCGCCTGCAGCTCGCCATTCTAGGTTCACTGCTAGTCCTTAAATCGGATGAGGGTGCACGTTTGGGGATGGGTTTATTAAACCGATCGCGTAGAAAACAACTTTGCTGAAAAATAGCTAATCAGGAGAATCATTCCAATCATTCAAACTCTCTCCAGGGAGTTGAAAGACCTCAATTCAGAAGAGTTATGACGGCCCCAAGTGAAATACAAGGTTATCCAGAAGTCATGAGGACGATACCTCTTCTGATAAGCAGAGCGACAGTTAATATAGGTACATGGAATATCCAAACAGTGGAGGAGACCGGGAGCACCAGTTAAATATTTGCTGAAATCAGGAGATAAAACCTAATGGTGTTCGGAACAAGTGAAACCTATTGGACCGAAGATAGACAGAAAAGATTACCTTCAAGACAGTAGCTATTGTACTCTAGTCATGAGGAAGAAAATTTATAGCACACACAAAGAGTTGCACTGATGATCTTCATAGATTTTAATCTCTGAAAAATTCCCATTATTTTACAACATTAGAAGCATGAGCACTTATGAGATGGGAATCTCATGGACCTAGGATCATCAAAACATACTTCAAAACACAGAAAGGGGGATCACAATGAATGCTATCCAGTGCTATGCGCACATCAATCATAGCAACGAAGACTACAAAGAATAGTATTATGAGAGGCTCTAGTCCATCGCAGAGAAGTGCTCACGAAAAGACCTGACAGTCTTGAACCTCAAGGTTAGGATGGACAACATCGGGCATGGAGATATCGTGGGACGACAAGGACTAGGAGAAAAAGGAACGAAAATTTTGAGAGGTTTGGAAATTTATGTGCATTCAACAGAATGGTTATGGGTGGAACAATATTCCATCAAAAACGCATACACATATCTACAGGAGTTTCATCGAACCACATTTGCATTAATAAAAAATTCAGAAGGTCCATGGAAAACGTGAAAACAAAGGGAGGAGCTGACATAGCTTCCGATCACCACTTGCTCGAGACCAAGATGAGATCGAAGCTAAAAGAGAACTAAACGGCTGAGCAAACAACATTACAAAAGTTTGATACAGTCTTACTCCGAGATAATGGCAAACTCAATGAATTCAAAATAGGTATCAGCAGCAGGTTCGAAGACTTACAAGATTAACTTAAACAAGAGGAAATTACTATGAACAACAACTGGAAAATGATTAAAGAGGCATCAACTTCAACATACCTGGAGGTGCTGGGTTGCAGTATCACCGTCATTAACAGTAGATCTCCATTGATATCCTGAACAAGAGTCAAGGAAGAAAGGACAATAGAACAGTAATAAAGAACAACCGAACAGGAGCAGAAAAAGCCAAGGCACAAGAAGAATACACCGGATCAAACGGGCCGGTGAACAGGAGCGGAAATATGTGGAACTCCAAGCAATGATAGCGGAAAAAGTTGCAAGAGGAGGAAATATGAGACAATTATATGATACAGGAAAGAATCTACTAGGAGAATATAGTAAACCTCAGTGACCAATCAAGGACAAATAAGGTAAATCAAACACTGAGATTTAAGAACAGACGATCACGTGGGTAGAGCACTGTAAAGAACTCTTGAATAGGCCAGCTCCACTGAACCCACTAGACATCAAAACAACACACACAGACCTTCTCTATAGCTGTTACTCCGCCAACGATCGAAAAAATCAACATGGCCGTCAGACAAATCAAGAGCTTGAAAGCAGCAGGACCTGACAATGAATCAGCTGAAGCACTGAAGTCAGACACAGAAGCAACAACAAAGAAGCTTCACGTTTTATTTAGGAAACTTTTGGAGAGAGAACAATTGCCGACAGAGAGTAAATAAGGAAACCTCATCATGAAACACATCGATTGACATCAACTTTCTCGACTATGATAAAACAATTTACGGTGTAGTTAGGAGAACATTATAAAACTTTCTTTGAGATTGTGGTGTACCTAGGAAGATGGTCAATATCACACGGAGTTCTAACGATAAACTACACTACAAACTCGTGCATAAGGAATAGCTCACAAATCCATTTCAAGTGAAGATAGCTGTCGAACAGGACTGCTGACTCTCACCTTTTCATTTTCTTCTGGTGGTTGGCTTGATTATGAAGATCTTCATACCTGATGGAAAACACGGAATAAAATGGACAGCTCGGAGTCAACTAGACGACTTTGGAGATGACCCTGCCCTTCTAACTCATACAGAAACTCATCAAGATCTTTCAAATAAAAAAACACAACACTCCTTAGGATATATATTTTTCTAGGCAATACCCATAAACAAACCTTCTTTGTAATGGAATTCACTGTGGTAGATGGTTTACACTCATGAGAATTTGATTGATTGTTCACAACATCGATAACACTTGGCTTTGTAACTGCTTCTTGAGAATGATTTTTGAACGCTGAGCCTTTATTTGATTTGCGGTCTAGTAAAGCACATAAGAAATAAAGGTTACAAACCATTATAACACAAATAATTTAGACATACTATAACATTCTACATACACAGATGCATTTCAGCAGAAACATGATTTTCATTTAATATGAATATCTAATAAAGAAAGTAACCAGTAATACTGATTAAAAAAATTAAATGTACACCAGTTGTTAACAAAGCATGTGTGCCCCTTACCACAAAAACTACATACATAATATATGTTCACATCACAAAGCGTTCAAATAAATTAATGTAATTTTAGCGTCTTCAACAATCTTAACTATTCCATTACCGTACCTACGACAAACCAGTTGGAAACCAAGTTTTCACGTTGGACATTCATCTATGAAAGTTCAGACGAAAAAGGAGCTGGCCATTAGAGCACAAAACTGACAAAGTAATCACTTTAAGTTCGAGTTCAATGTAGGTTCGGCTTGACCAATAGCACTCAAATAATGAGATTGTAATAGGGAAGTATAATTTTGGCACGCCACTTAGAGATGGGTTCTAATGCTGAAAACCATCTACCTCAGAGAAACATGACCACACTGGTAATAATTTACGTATCCTTAGAGCTTCATACTTGCCAATCACTATCACCGCCCACTGAAATTTATGGAACATTTGTGGTGGTAATTTTAGAACAGACTTACACATTATGTAATCACCAATACTTAATTCGTCGAAATAAATACGAAAGATATCGGTTGTGCATGATACGAACTCAGAAAAAATTGCTACACTGAGCCATATATCATTGTTTAAAATGAGCAGACCAGATGAAATCTACAGTATTTTAGTCTGGATAGATGTACCAAGATTCATATGTTGAAAAATAACACACAGAATTGACAAAGTTGTTTACCTTCTTTCATAAATTCATCATCTAGGCGACTATCCGTTCTAAGCAAGTGCGAATCAGATTTACGAGAGTCTTTATGTGTTGACTTGGGCATGTTTGGATCATTACCATTAACAGGTTTGATGAGATTTGGAAGTAATTGTGGTGGTGGTGGCGGTGGTGCAGGAGAACGATGTTTTTTCTCGGATTCCTAAAGGCAGTGAGAGAAAGTATCAACTACAATCATATCATGTGAATCAAAATGACGAATTACACTCAAGTACAACATCATCCGATTAGACTGATCAGACATTATGTTTACATTGCATACAAACCAAAAAAACATTGATTTTCCACATCCACATGGAAAAGAGACAATGAAACAGTCACAAATTGAATGCGCTCACCATAGAAATACAAAACCACAATAATACATTTACTAAACACCACTCAATATTTTAAACGAGCTAGTCAAAACACTAATGCGTAGAAAGGAATCTAAGGTCATTGTGACTGAAAGAAGTACTAGCACACACATTATAGAGTTCACAAACGATGAATAATAAGTCGTACTATATGTTCCGACCTGAAGTTTTTTTTATAATTGGCGGTTCTTACAAAAGAATGTAACTATCAGGAGGTAGTAAATAAATTTGAAGTAAAGTTGTTATATTTGTTTAATTTTCTGATAATTAAAATTCTGCTTCTTTATTAAGATATTCATTTATTAGTGGTAAGTGCTACTTAGCTTAATTTTCTCAAAATATGGATGTTGTTTATTGTAAACAAAATGCGTTTTGAAATATAGTCCCTATGTATTTCTGGTCTTGGATAAACATTTGTTCTGTATACCTGTCTCTTTCCTTGCATTGTATCATATCAGGTTTGTTTTTAATAGCACAAAATGAAATAATATATTGGAATTATAAAGCAATAATACAGAAATTATCTGGAATTATTGACTCCATACTATCTGGCTCAAATTCAATATCTGGTAGACCAACTTTGTTAAGATTACAAATATTTAACACTCTCTAATTTACTGTCTTATACATCTTTCACTGAATTCATCACAATTATGATTATGGAGTACTGATCAGGTTAAATATTTAAGCGATTATAGTGGGTGTAGGAATATTGCTACGGCTCAAGTAATTATTATTATTATTTTAACACATAGGTATAGGTACAGGGAAGCACCAAATACATATGCGCCACACGAATCTCAATTGATTTGTGTGACGGCTGTGACACTGTCCGGGTGCCCAAACCGAAGCAGGTGGTTTTCTTAAGGGGCCACACCCCGAGCCTTCGACCTGAACGTTTGACCCACAAGGTAGTGGAGCATCGTGAGGAGATGCAGTCCCATGGTAGCCGGTGACCAACGATTGGTTCATACGCCATTTGTTCCTTCAGGATACTGGAGCCAGCCCATGTGCACCATTGGTTTGGAGTCCGGTTAAAGCGCCAGACATTCGCTTTTCGTCCTCTCATTTTTGTAAACAACACCCCCGCCACGAGAAGGCAATGAGTAGGACTTCCCTGGCAGAGGCTATATACGCATGGCCATGTGAGAGCATTTCGAGTAATAGGTATAATCGAAACTGATACAAAAAGCATTACATTTCTGAAAAGTTATATCCTCTTGTTCTGTATTACCATTAAAAGGGTTGGAATCTCTCGACCACGCGTTTTGTTTTTACCAAGATTTGTCAAGAAACGCATCTAAAACGTTTAGAAAAATTATGTCCGCTCAGATGATTTTCGAAACATCGCTTAGTGCTCCAGTCATTTATTATTAGTTAGTTATTTAGTTCACGAACTGCGCTGCTTGATTTTGGAGTAATCACTTTCCCAGTGCTTGTAAAAACTAATTAACCGAGGAATGCAATGTTTTTGGTAAGTGAACCAAGATATGCCTACATTTCTAATTTAATATTATATAAACTTGGTTTTGAAGTAGTTTGTTAAATACAGTTGCGCTTATATGTCTTCTAAATTAAAGAAATACTCTCCTAGAAATATATATATTGACAAGACAAAAATTCACGAGACAAAATACGAACACACAAACCTTCTTTGTATTTGAATTCACCATGGTAGACGATTTACGCTTGTACGAATTCGATTTATCCTTCACAATAAATGATTTACTCTGTAATTCTTGAGAGCAATTACTAATTGAGTCTCTGTTTGTTTGAGATTCTAATAAAGAATAGGAACAATACAATAAATGAAACTTAATTCAGTATGATTTGTCTATAGCAAGTTTATTTATTTATTTATTTTAACACATAGGTATAGGTATAGGGAGGCACCAAATACATATGCGCCACACGAATCTCAATTGATTTGTGTGACGGCTGTGACACTGTCCGGGTGCCCAAACCGAAGCAGGTGGTTTTCTTAAGGGGCCACACCCCGAGCCTTCGACCTGAACGTTTGACCCACAAGGTAGTGGAGCATCGTGAGGAGATGCAGTCCCATGGTAGCCGGTGACCAACGATTGGTTCATACGCCATTTGTTCCTTCAGGATACTGGAGCCAGCCCATGTGCACCATTGGTTTGGAGTCCGGTTAAAGCGCCAGACATTCGCTTTTCGTCCTCTCATTTTTGTAAACAACACCCCCGCCACGAGAAGGCAGTGAGTAGGACTTCCCTGGCAGAGGCTATATACGCATGGCCATGTGAGAGCATTTCGAGAGGGAGAGCGGACTCTCCCCACTCTCGGCCGTACCAGGGCATTTGGGGGCAGTGATACTGTGGTGTGTGCTACTTATGTAGACATAAGTAGTATATGACGTGAGCACTGAACAGAATGTCTGGCGGCAGAGAGATAGTAAGATCGAACAATAAAGAATGAAGACAGAAGGCAATTTGTATGAAAATGCAAGAACAAGGGGATTCTGAGTGATTTGCGACAATTGATGAACAATTTGCAAATTAACAATTCAATATATGGTTGTTTGATTTTACTAACTAGTTCTGTAATTGGTTGTTAAATACATTGTATTGTCCCCACTCGTGTTTTATTCACTACAATACTACAGTGAACAATGAATCACCTGAATAACTCTATAAAGTTTAGAAAATGAGTGATATGTATTACTGTAGACTGAATTCACTGAGAAATAACCACTTACATTTCAGTAGTTATAAATTAGCATTCCTAAAACTACTTTGTAAAATTCTAAATGATTAAAATATTAGATGTTGGATAAGTCCCACAGATTATTCAGTGGATCTCATCTATACACGAATTAGATAACAAATATTAAATGTTCAATGCTTTTTAAAACGAATTACCTCAGTAACACAGAAGTAATCAACCTTTCCCGACGAATTCTTAGACTAATTTATTACCTATTTATTTATATGATTTATCTTTTTCTGTGTAAATAACAATACTATAACTGTTCAACGATAACTTGAAGTACTGTTCAGTTAGTAGGTATCATTACCAAGGTTTAACTTGGTTATTTCGAATAAATTGAGCGTTGGGTAGGTCTTTATAAATAAATTAATATATTTGTAATATCCCAAAGAGTAGAAAAATTAGATTTTCTGACATTTCGTGACTTAGTGTAAGCCACTTCTTCAGAGAATAAATAACCAAATTAAAATTCTCGTTGTTCCGTTGTACTACTTAAACTTGGATTTATTTCAGTTTGGTTGCTTATTCTCTGAAGAAGTGGCTTACACTAAGTCACGAAACGTCAGAAAATCTAATTTTTATACTCATTTGGATATGACAAATATATCATTTATTTACTGTTCAGTTATATTTTATTTTTCTATATACAGTAGTAATATAAGGAAATACAAAATTGACCAGCCCAAAAGCGATCAATAGAGGCTAGAACTTACCGACAACTGAATTTCGTTTATCATCCAATCTTTTAGTACCATCTTTCTTACTTGGTAATGTTACGCAACTAGAAGATTGTACCTTGTCAGGTACATCGGCAAAAGGTGATAAATGTCGATGTGTTATTTGTTGTTTAGCAGGTACATTTGGTGCTGGACGCCTTTTATGCTTAATTTCAGTAGAGAATTTAGTTAACGAAAATAACACAGAAAAGATTATAAATTAATTAAATAGCTATTAAGCCTAAAAAAATTATAAAGTATTGTACATAAAGCTTGAAATTCAACTATACTTATTACTAACTTTTACCATATATTAATGTTAAAATTACTTATCAGAAAATTTATTTCAAGCCAACTCAATTAATAAGCACTTGATCATGACTCAGTACAACATAGTTCACATGGTTGCACAGTTAGAAGATAGCCATCATTACAGACAAAAATGCCAGGGAAACCTGAATGTTGATGATTTACAATCCGATGTAATGTTATAATTGTTGTTTATTGGGATGTTTAAAATAAAGATATATACCTAGTGGTTACTCGGTTCGGGTAGTTCATTAGATGATATTAGTCTATAATGAATACGTTAAAAACGATAAAATTGTGAATAAACGCCCAAGTGGGCTATTATTATTATTAGTAGTAATTTCTTCGCTTCGTATGATTCATTAACACGATTGTAAAAAGAATTATGTTAATTATTAACGCATAATTAACAATAACATTTATCCCTATTCTACAGTTAAAATGCACACAGATTTCCAGGTGATCTTGTGTAATTAATAATAAATGAACTAATTTTCGACTTTTCACACTATCATAATTCCTATTATTACGACCCAGCTACCCTTTAGTGAGTAGTATTCTTGGACAATACTTCACTCGACAAGTCCCCAAATCACAACACGGTCGAACAGGAACGTAGTTATATTTCAAATGACAAGGTTGTATTGAAGTAGGAATCTCAACAAGAAAAACGTCAGTATATTTATAATTTTTACATGGGAAGATTCTAGTCTTCTCCGATTCTCCGCTAGCGCTGATTACTTAACAAATAGCCAACCAGCGTGCCTTAACACAATGCTGCACGGAGCATGCTTTAGTTCAATCTATATACCGCTAACACAACCTTAGTCTATTGTAAAATAATATTTCGATTTACCATTATTATTATTACTGCAGATATTATAAAAAGCAATTTTGTTTACTAGAGAGTACTCTGACCTAAAATGTTAATAGTCTAGAAATCATTATCAGAAGGGGGTTCTATGGAGGTTGTAGTAATTTAATAGCTTACTTCATGAGTTCATTAAAGCTAGGTCACCTTGGAAAACCTGGGAGCACTGGACGGCCGTTTCGTCCTAATATGGGACTTTTCAGCGATGCGCATCCACGACCTCGCTTGCGGGATCCGAACCCAGAACCTCTGGTCCCGCGTGTCAACGCTTAACCTCTAGACAACTGAGGCGGAATTCAACAGTGCTAATGTCTAACTTCAACCAATCCACGAAATTGCGCCACCGTGGATGCGCTCTTCTGAGGAGTCCCATATTAGGACGAAACGGCCGTCCAGTGCTCCCAGGTTTTCCAAGGTGACCTAGCTTTAATGGACTCATGAAGTCTAGAGATTATCTTTAAACAACAATGTGACGTTAATTAATAACAAAAAATAAAACAGTGGTCTTCCACGTTGAAACATTTATTTGGAATTTCCAAATCACTGTGTCAGAGGCGAAAAATATCAAAACTTGGGAATGTGTGTCAATAGTCAATGAATTTAAGAATTGATTCAATGACATGTGACTTTTTTATCCCACTACTATGCTGCAAATCGCTGGCTAGTGATATGTAACACAAGCCTAAACCAATTCACTCGTTAAAAATCTACAACTCGCCAAAAGATAGACTACTAACATAACTTCTTTAATACTAAGTCACTTATGTTACCCACTAATTCAATATAAATGATGAAACTCACGAGGTAACTGAAATGGCCATTTTAAAGAATAGTTAAACAAAATTCTTACTTCCATTTCCAAATTAGATATCAGAGAGTCATCACTTTGACTCTTTTTGTGTGACGTTGAGTTCTTGCTAGATTTACCTTTCTTTCGTTCTGCAAGATAAAAGATATAAAAAATCATAACAGACAGACACCAAGATATTAAATATGGGAAGTGATTTGTAAGTTTCAACAATTTTAAATAGCCGTAGATTCACACAATTGGAGAAATTACATCAAGCGGCTTTCTCATCTGTCTGTTTATAAACAAGCGTGCAAGTAACCCTCAAGCAACGATTCAGTCAGGCGAGCTTAACTGTTGAAATATCACTGCCTAATTTTTGTTTTTTGAACCATGTTTCTTATGTTTAGCCTTACATTGGAACGGCTACTAATATTTTTACCGTTCTTTCCATTTCAGTGATATTCTTTTGCATAGCTCTTTATTCGGTAGCCACATAAAACTTTGGTTGTTCCTTGTAGATAAGCTAAGACTTAACTATCCAAACTTCATTTCTCACACTTAAAGTTCGATTGCTTTTCATGTTATTTTCCATACTATACTTCCGATTTTGTCTGTTTCCTGTAGCTGCATTGATGTAAGCGGAGGCAACTTGGAGTAATGCAAACCCATCCCAGGTCCTACATAGATAACGACTAATTGACTGATTCCTTAAAGATAAGGTCAAATAATTTTATTTTCTAAGTAATCAACCTTTGACGACCACGTAAAGTGGCTACATATTGGAAGAACGATAACTCATGTTCAAAATACACAGTCTCTGAGACCAAATATTTTGACACTCCTGCGAATGTGGCAAAATGGTGAAATAAAGTAGATTTAAATGTAATACATGCTATTGGACAGTAACTACGTCCTAAAAAGAATAGTAAACCACTCAGTCATTGGTTGATGACACTCACCAAAACCGAACTACAAAAAGACTCTTGAACCAAATATATCAATGAAATTTTTATTCCCTAGAATATCTGCCAGGTTCTACGTTGTTTATGACTGACCTTAGAACATAGTCACCATGGCAATGATAGAAAGGTTAATGTTTCAGAACTAAAAAAGAATAAACAAATGATGAAAGAGCTATCTGGTGAACCTGAAATTTAGCTAATTTTTTAATCACAAGACTACACTCCGGAATTAAAAGATCATGCAACCAAGGATTTTAATCATCATAAGACCAGATTTTTCCAGTAAAGGCAAAAAGAATTGAGCGCCAATTTAAATAGCTCTTGATAATTGTTCTGAGAGACTCTGGCAGGTGGGTTATTGAAAGCTATCGGTTTTATTTATATCAAGTTTGTTACATCTATATCAACTTTGCTGAAGCTAGTAACAAGATAATGAATGAGTTATTATGAAGAAATCCAAACCGGGTTACCAACCTTTAAGTTCAATTTGTTCTGCATTTTGATTTAAGAATGTATCTTTTGGATCTAAAATCGTTCCTCTTTGGGGATCAGTAATGTAGTAGTTGCTTAATTGAAGATGATGCTCCGAAGACACCTGAAATGAAAGCAAGGCAAAACCGATGGTGCAAAACATGTACATCGTCAGCAGGTTGAATACACCACACACCGAATAGTACAGGTTAATCCCTAAAATTGTCAAAAGGTTCAGTCCACTGAAAATTAAGAGAATAAATCGGCAGATTCAAATCGCGATACATTTTTTGCCTCAGACAAATCATACCACTTAGAGGTATTGCATTGATCAATTAGAAATAAAGCATACAACCCGAGAAAGCTAGACCGGCTTCAGACCTGGTTGTCGATGTATTGAAAACGTCTTCGCCGTTTAGTAGGTTTGAAAACACAGGCATCTGTACTACCGGCCAATTGTGACCATGTTTATTAACCTGAATGTAGCAGTCCACTCTGTCAAAGGATGTAGTAAAAGTGTAAATACGACCTCTCCAGGGTTGGTGAATTCAGAAACCTCAGTTGGCTTTAGTCAAATCGGGTCACCTGTGAAGTAGGTGAGATGTTTGCTAACCAAGAGGTAAGATGTGCGGAAGTTCGACCTAATTTACTCTGTGGCTGAGAGACATGGTCTATAAGTGTATAAAATTCGTGTAAGGTGAAAGTATTCGACCACAGAAGTTTTCGAAGCATTGATTGGTTATCATGAAACAACCAAGTAAACAATGTTGAGGTGAGGAATAAAGTGCTAGGGAAAGATCCCAAATCGGTCGGTGAGGGTGTAAACCGTTACCGACTGATTTTGCTAAGAACTACTTCGACGTTCAATGCTGACAGGTATTGAGGTAAACAGAGCGAAAAATAGAGGCAGATAAACCAAAACGTGAAATTAAGGTATGAAATCACAAATTTTTCGTAGTTGAGCATTAATACGGGATAACAACGACCACTGATTGCAGACGTTTGCTGACACGCATCAAAACTTGTAGCAGAGGCGCATCCGCATTCACTCTATCTTACTTTAGATCTTGAGTCTAAATATTACTTAATGAATACCTTTTGATCGCTTCGCTTTGAATCATTTTCTTATTGATTAGTCTTCTTCAAAATCATAGATGCTACTATTATTACTACTCTTTGATAAACACGCTGGTAATGTCATCCGATTGTGTCGATCTGGTATGGGAGCTTGGACTGACATACATTTCTACTGGACTGAGTGGAAGTGAAGTTAAAATTTTCGATTAGTTGAGTAGTATGAACAAAATGGAGATCAAAATTTAAAGTTAAAAAATGTGACATTATCCTCTTGAAAGTAAACAGTTAAGTTTTTTGATCCTACTAATATGATAAAAAACAAGAACACTCAAAGAATAAGGTTTATATCAGTCCTCACTTGCCACCGATCCTTCACTTATAAATGATAACACATAGAGCTTTGACTTAGACGCATTATTTACAATAAGATGAAGCACCGCAAGGAGTTACCGTCCCATAGTGACCGCAAACCATACTAACTGTACACGACATTCAGTTCTTCAGGATCCTTGAGGTCATGTGAAATTTTAGCTTGAAAATAAGGTTTACGCTAAGCATCAACTAAATCTCCGAGCACTGGACGACTGTATTCAGTTTCTTTTTTCTATAAGCCCTTCCTTTATCTGAAGGCAGATAGTATGACTTTTCTGGACAATGGTATAAATGTTTGCCCACATGCGAATATATTGAAAAAGGACTCTTCACACATTTGGTAGTACCACGGTTAGTATTAGTCGCTGTTATGAGATCACACATCACATAAGTCTTCATTAGGATTATATAGTGCCCAAGTTTGATGCTATGTACATTTCATTGAGCATAAACAGCAATACAAAGGTATTAGCAGTAAAATATTGATAGCTATTGAAAATTCTTGAGTCTTCGAGTCAGAAGCGATTCATCACTTTTCTCCAGGTCACTAAATTACTCAACGAGGTTCATTGTGGTGTAGAACAATGTTTAAAGGAACGCTCTAGATGAAAAACGCTATGGCTTGTTAGTCCACATTTTTAATTTGCTCAAGTTTGAGCACTAGGTGGTTACTCCACAGTGTTGCTAGAAGGTAAATAACTTTAGAAAACAGATAAGCCCTATTTAAGAATAAAAACATTAAATTGAACGTACAAGATTTCGGTTTAAACTTGCAGTAAGTACAAGTAGTGTTGTCAGACTTTGATAACAATGATAGTTTTGAGAAACTTAGTGAAAAAGAGTTGAATATACTATCGTATATCCTGGACCTCTGATATAAAAGCATTATCATATGACTACAACAACAGTGCCAAAGATCGGTATATAAATCCAGTGCTAACCGCGCACAAAAGTACAACAGATGAGACCTATATTTCCACTGAAGAATCAGCAGTCTAATTCGACATGACATACTTGAGAAACGTAAACAGAAGTATAACATGATACACATGTGTATCAGTTCAAATCTTGTACGCTTCGCATTGCTATACCAAAATGAAATCAGGACGACAAAGAGAAAAGGAGTGGAAACAATAATACTGACGATGATAAATGATGTAAAAATGGAGATAACAGAAGGCAAAGCACAGAACAAATCGGCAAAGTTAAAGAAATAGTAAGTTTACGTAGTATTGCGCCAAACTACTATGTGAAATTCGATCGAAAAATACTTACTTTTTGAAGAACTTTACTAATAGGTTGATCTAAATGTCCACGGACGACAATCATGCAATTTTCTGGTAAATGCACAGTAATCCGATGTCCCAGCTAATTTTAGAAATGCAGATAAAAAAACAGTAATCTAGTGCATCAACAAGCATACATTTACAGAACAACAGCTTTGGAGTTTGTCCTACTACTATACAGACGCAATGAAAAATTTAATGTCGTAAAAACTATTGTATGGCAAAAACCAGTAGTGGATAAAACGAAAAACATATGAAATCATTACAGCACATAAATGCTGCAGAGGTCAAACTAAATTTAGGGGATCAAGAAATGAACGGAACTCACGAATTATTATTACAGTAGAATACACCGTAAGTTAAGATCAAGAAAAAATAAGTACTGCTTGACAAGCACATCAGACAAAATGGCAGTTATCCAAAAGCTGTAAATGAGCACTTTGAAACTAGTTGTTATCAATCACTATTAGTGGTATGACTGGTAGAAAAAATAGAAACTACTGACTACTAAATCATGTAATCTATAGCTGATATCCAATGACTTTGACATAAAACATGTTTATAACTACTTTTTCTTCTTATGTCTACTCAAACCACTGTTCAAAAATTTGTCTAACTGTTGGAATAAAATCCGACTAGGCTATTAGTAACTCAGTAAACGGAAAAAACTATTTATAACTCACTTCGTTTAAAAATTCCCTCCCAGTTTTTAGGAGTGTAATAGGGTATTTAAACTTCGTGTCAAGGAATGGATACTGATAAAGCTTAGCAGACTTCTTGAAACAGCATCTAGCAATGAGCCTAACCATAGACGGTAACGTTGTTTGAGTTGTATCAGAATTAACCCAATGGCCAAGCTTACTCCTAGAAGGAGCAGAAAGCCAACAGATGCCTGAAACTCCAGAAAGACCCTCGCAAGGAACTAAGAAAGTGTAGTCCACTGCTTGTAAGCCACATAATGAACAAAGTTGAACGAGGAAATCAGAACATTTCATGTCGAAGTCCACACCATAAACGCGAATAAATTCTTCAGTAGCGATACACTCGACGTCGACGTACGACCCATTATCGCCACAATTCATATAATAAAATCTCGTGGGATCATAATTTTCAATACCGCGGAATTTGCTGCCGAATTCTGAACGGTCCTTAGAGGGCTTTGAGTAGACGAGGTTCTTAAGCCTTCCAATTGCACCAGCCAAACCCATATCTTTAATTAATGTGCAGTTTCAAATTTGGAACAGTACGGTTCCCACAGAAAGTCCCAGCAAACTTTACAAGAATCTCCAGCGAACTAGTGGCAAATGAAATAAATACCTGATTTGGAAATTTATCCCAGATGTTAGTTTGTTTATAAATTTTCTACTGTTGAAGCCTAGAAAAAATTTCGACAAAAACAAAACAGTTCACCATTTTGAGATATAGTACTGATTCATATATTTATTCCGGAAATTTAGATAAAAGAGAATTCATTACGCACAACAGGGTTCTTAAAAGTCAACACTTTTGTGTTTCTGACAAAGACGATTTTAGCACAAGAGATATAGCTATATCTAAATATGGGTATTTACTAGAATTTTATTAATTACAAGAGTAACAGATGACTAAATTTTTAGTGACATTTAAATCCCTAGTTCCTTAAATTTTATTTTTATTCATTTCTATACACTGTATGCAAATCTTCATGCTATTCCTCAACAATGCTTTGATTTAAAATGATAAAAAACGCTTCAAGATAGCTAAAAGTAAAATTAAGTTGATATGAACTCGCGAGTAGTAATTATTTGAAAGTGAAATGATATGCAGAATAGAAACAAAACAGTACAAGACAAAACCCCGCCCCTGTTTCATTAGGTCACCTGTGGAAGACCGTACTAGTAGTGGTACAAAAAAACAAACTGCAAAGTCCAAGAAAACTGAACTGTCTGTAATTTGTTGCGAAGTCATATTTGCACAAGACGTTTTCAATTTACGAAGAGATATGGATTATGGAAGTCAATATATACCCAAAATAAACAACTCTGTATGGTTAGTAGTGAGGGTTGTGCACTGCTGAGGAGTAAGAATGGGAGGTCAATCCACCTATCTTAATCTTAACAATTTATAGCACCATGAAGATCCAATCTCATCGCATGTATCAGAAGGTTCTGACAGTACGTGTTCTTGAAAAGAAGATTGTTTCACTATGCGGATCGATAAGTGCGTAGCGAGAAATAAATGACTAATCAAGGCTCCGGCATAGACGATAATCTCATTGATTTTACTAGGCACACCATGGCCGAAGGCGCTTGATCACACATCCACACCACACCACGAGTGGGAATGCCGTGCTACTCATCCCTCTTGACTGCCAGCCAGGTCAGATTAAGCGCTCCTCAATATATCGACAAGTCAAGTCCGTTCATACCTGACTCCTGATATAACAAGGTCGGCATCCTTCCGTGAACAAGGCGTTATAGACAAAAGCGTTATCAAACCCTGAAAATCCATTGCATATTTTAACGGAACTACGGACGTGAACGATATGATCTTTAGTTTTTGATGATCAGTCTTAGACAGAAAGAAAAGATAAAACATATTGATATCAAGATCGTCGTCAGTGTACGATAAGCCAGTATTTAAACAACTCGTAGTCCGCGATAAAATCACAGAAGTAGGACGTGACTTCTTAGTTTCTCTTCATAAGATAGGTTGAATAGACCACTCACTATACTGATCCCTCTCAATTGAACATGTTTCCCTATGTATCTGACACAAGTTTCATCATACGAAGATGCTATCAACATAAATTTTCCCTTTAACTCCGTATATGACCGAGGCTAACCCCGTTTAGATGACAGCGGTATGTAACGTTCCTGTACATGACTCCAGCTAGATGGTATGTTGAGTGTTATCGCAATATAAATGCTGCCAACCCTCGTATATTTTTATATATTTAATTCACGTTGGAGAACAACGGAATAGAATAAAAACAAACACAAGAATAAGTTTTTAACATGTATACTTCATACGCTCATTGATTTAGAAAGACAGTCGGAGGAACGAGGTAGGGAAGACGAGCAAAACAAAACAAAGTGATACGCACCAAAGAAAGTGAGCGAGTCAACACCAACTGACCAAGCGTGAATCGATATTTGTAGTCAAACGAAAATAAGTTACAGACATATGATGAATAGGGTAAGTGACACACTTACAACCATAAAAAATGTCAGGGTTAATAAGCGAATATTTGACGAGACCAAAATATGACTTGAGAAAAATAAATAAATTAGTCTGTCTTGAAGCTAGAATAACCTATGTGGGTTAATATAGTACCAGCCACTACGAGGATACACTGTAAGAAGTAGCACAATAATTTGTAATAGTTTGTTCTTGTCAACAATAAGCAGCGAAAAATATTGTTCCATATCAGACAGAGTACAATGACAAGCAAGGAGTGAGTGTATAATATGGGAGTAACACACTTATGTAAACAAGGAATATAAATATAAAAACGCGGACAAAAAAGGGGAAATAAAAGTATGCGACTATGAAAAAATTAATTAACGTACATGCATACACTTATAACACAATGATCTAAACGGAGAATATTCTTTTCAACAATTTCTTACCAGATTCTACAATTATATATCCAAATAAATAATCCCCAAAATTGACCACGTTTTAGGCAGAGGACATCATTTAAAATTATAACATGTGAATTAAGGATTGTTTGTAATGTATAATATAATGTTCTAACTTGAATAAGCTTATACGTTGACGGAGATTGTGGAACAAATAATCAGAATAAATATAGCCAACCTGGAGTAAGAGAGAGAATAATATATTTACAGATCGGAAATTACATAATATGTACAATCATACGGATTAGACAAGAATTAGTAAATGTGGGTGGATGCTATGTAAATATCTCAGAAGAATTGGCAAGTGTAATAATAATGATGATATGACAGTAATAATAATGACAGTGGCAAGATGTGTGGACAACTTTAGGGTATTAAAACGAACATTAGTAAAACTACGTCACCATATCATAAAAAAGAAATAATAGATAGTTGGGCCCGAAGTTGGCCAGAGTAGAAGGAGCGGCTGAACACGTTTCTTTTGGATGCAAAGCTCCGGCATTTTGATCCGAATAGCAATTACTTTAGCTATCCGTAGGATTTTCAGTATGATGGAATTTGGGAGACTGTTGTTAACACAATATATTACTGCGGAGGATTGCTCAATGTTGGCTGTATGTCCCGTCTGAATTAAATGGGTTAAAATAGAGCTGTAAACAGTTTTAACTATACATTTGCTTAACCACACACATACATTTACAACATGTTTGCACAAGCGATTCGAAATGGCGTGAAAACAGAGTAATAAATCGTTTATGAGCATGACAGGAATAATTCGTAAAAGTAGAGCAGAATATTACATAAATTGGTCTGTAGTGCAGACAGAATATAAGTATAAAGATTGATTGATTGTGCAAGAGTTCTTATAAGCCTCAGTAGAGTAAATGGTGTCGATTAGTGGTGAGTGGATTTGAATTTACACACATAGGGTTTCCGTTCGTAGGATAAGAACAGTCCAGACGTAAAATGATGACTGTATTGATGAATGATATTTGTTGCTGTACTGTAATTGATACTGAACATAAATGCAAAGCCAGTGATGTTGTTGCTTGTGTTATAACCAGATGAACTGAGTTATCTGTAAATATGCATTGGTAGAATGACCAGAGGAACAGAATAATGCCTTCGGAGACGAGATACGAGGAGTCGCATTCTTTTTTCGTTATGCCTAGTGTTGTTTGTGTATTTAGAGGGATATGCACTCGACTCAATTTGGTACAAAAACGTACTAAGGCGTGATGAAAATGACAATACATATGGTTATCAATGACGGGTGAAAGAGGCTGACTTTGATGTGATGAGTGTATCTTTGAGAGACTAGCTTTATGTTCTGATTTACAGTGTGACAAGAACAGAATGTTAATTTCAGTAATCAAGTACTGTTTGCGGGTAATGAATGATGCAGCATACAGTCTTACATGTGAACACTTTAATAAAATTAACATGATTATCACTTATCGGCTAGTAATGCGACGACGAATATTTGATACATGTATGGACATTAAAGCAAGGATAATTGATTCAGCAAAGAGTGGCTGAAGTTTGGTTTGGATTGTCGTCGAAAAAGTGAAAGACGACGATTGCTGCGTGATAATGCAATGAACGGGCAGCAGTTGCATATCGAGACCCTAAGTTCCGACTATAGAGAGTGTGACTCCAAACCTATGTCTGTAATAGCGTAGTTAACCGTTGCCAGAGATAGCGTAGCTGCGATCGTGCTATTTTTGACGTAAACAGGTTTACTCGACTGTTTACATTGACTACTTGTTCTACTACTGCGTGAGTCGTAAGGCCGTCAATTTACTTAGCATGCTGCAGGTTGTTTGATCTACGAATAGCTAGTAAATATGTTGAAGATAAATGACATGTGATTATCGTATATCCACAAAACTGAACGATAATGAATAAACCATTCATGTGATAGGTGCTTCTGAAAATAAATAAAGCTGAAAAACATGAATGCAGAATAATATTTCGTGGTCTTATAGAATTATGGTCTACTTCGTTATTAGCACTGCTATAATAATAGAACTAATCCTAAAGTTGCAGATTTTTCATGATGTGACTGTCTAATCGTTGAGATTATACGTGGAAGTCACATCACTGTCCACGTTGACTCATCAAATCGTGACAATTAATATTATCATACTGAGCACTTAAGAAGAACATATTTTGTCTAGGGATGGAATAATAAATTCAATAGGTATCATTAACAAGGTTTATGTTGATAACTTCAAACAAATTGAGCATTTGAGTAGATTATTATAAATGAAAATAATATATTCGTGACATCTCGGTGAGTAGAAAAATTAGATTTTCTGACGTTTCGTGACTCAGTGTAAGCCACTTCTTCGAAGAATCAATAGCCAAATTGAGTTAATCCAAGTTTAGGAACAACAAAAGAATAAAGCAAGAATATTATGTGCTATGAATGAAAACATATCTGAAAAAGTGTGAGTTCGGAAAGGGGTTCTTGTAGTTCCTAGGTCACATAGTAACTTATCAAGGTATTACGCCGATCTCAGGAAAAGTCGATGACATCAGAGATTGTCCGTTACCTGACTCTCGGAAGCAGGTACGACGAT